AGCAACCTTGCCTGGAGGTGAAGATGCTCAAAATCTTCATTGGACCAAGAAGCGGGTGCTGTCAGGAGCAGATATGTCTCACTGTCAAATGAGTAAATGTCACATTCTGTGGATTTCTGATGTTTTTGAAGAGCATTTCTCTATATAAGGTAATCTGAACTGTTAAACCTTGACTACTCAAAGTCATTCCTAGTTGAAATATCTCTAAAACATCCTTTTATAATTAAATCAGAATCAAACATAACCATGAGTTTGCTATCTGGCCCTTAACTTGCATTGCTCAATCATCTAAAACAGTTTGCAATAGTAGTTTATAGAAGGACTGGGTCTAAGCTTTGTATTCTTAAATGAGTTGCATAGGCACAATGCCTATCTAAGAGTAACAATATTAATCCCAAATTTTGTATCAATATAAGAAATTCACACCAATGAAAACCTTAAATATGTATCAAAATACATTTTGTACCAATGTAAGAAATTATAACTTCAACTTTGCATCAATATAAAGATTTCTACCAATTAAGATTATGGCTGTACAACCAATTCTACCTATTTCTTCCATGTTCAAGATTATGACCATTCCCAAATTATCCCTTAAAATGGCAACTTTTGTGTAATTTGTAAAATAACCATTAACAGATCCCCCAAACCCAGGGAATTGGGCTGATGACTCTCCATAATTTCTTCTGCCTATACAGGGGCAATGAAACATTCTTTAAAGGGGAGGGAGGGATACAGTAGGAAAATTAGAAAATTTAGTTAGACTTCAAGAAAGTCAATTTTAACATCTGTTTTTCAGTTTCTATATGTTTAGAAGGCTCAGGGCTTGACTGAGGTTCTGACTAGATACATCTGAAAGGTTGAATGAGCAAGACGACCTGGAATCTGTGACACAGGGAGTCCCAGCAGGTCAATTCAGCATCTCTGAGGCTGAATCTTGCCAAAGCTGTGCATTCTGTAATATATACATCTCACAACCAAAATTTTAGTACCATTAATATATCTGCATGGATTGTGCAGGGTGCACAGATCAGTCAAGGATGAAATTCTGCTCCCTGTTTGATTCTCTTGAATTTATCTAGTTCTTCAGGGAGTCTCCCCCTCTCATATCTGATCCACATCACTCTGAACTGGGGCCAGAGCCTATTCTCCTTTCCTGTCAACACAAATGCAGAGCCTTTCTCCCAAATTAGCATGTCCTTGAGCCAGTAACTGGAAAAATCTTTAGCTTGACCTCTCCCAGAGGAATCCCAATATAACCACCAAACTCAAAATCACACCCATTTTGGTAATTAAAACAATTCAAAGCAAATAAAGCAATCTAAACAAATATTATTTGTTAAAACAGTGTTCCCACTGTCCCCTGCCCAGACCTTCACAAGATCAAGGCCTCAATTACTTATTTAATATCTCGGTCTAAGGTCCTGTTCCCCAATTGGTTCTTGATCTGTAATTAAAGAAAGCTGGGGGCCAAATGCTGGGTGGAAGATGGGACTTATGGGTCCCAGAAGGAAAAGGCAGATGCAAGGAAGGAGAAGGGGAGTTTTTGCCATACTTTGGAGGGAGAAGAAGCCAGCAACCATGTGAGGTATAAGGGGGAGCTAGAGCCTGTGGCCACTACTACAGGCAGGAGGCTAGGGATGTTTGACAGGGGCTAGGTGGGACTAGCCACTGAAGCCCAGGGCAGGTGGGAGGAGCAGAGATAAAAATATTATTGAGGGCACGCTTTTCCAGGTGGGAGATAGTAGCACCTAGAAATTGTGTTCTAATGAAAGTTGAAAAGAAATAGACTCTGTGGGTGCATGTGTGTGTGTGTATCTGTGTGTGTGTTTGTGTTTGTCTTTTATGTGCAGATTCAAGGGAAGCTGGGAGGAGGATGGTAGTTCAGTCACTTCCTAAAGCTAAAGGCGGGTAGAGCAGAAGGGAAGCTGGGTAGGAGCTGGTAGCATGGCTGATTCAAGAGCAAAGGCGGTAGCATAGTCTACTGCCAGTTGGTTTCCCCAAAAGATGCCGAGGCCTCCAGTGGGAGAATGTACTCCACCTAACAAACAGTGGTATGGCAACTGGGTCCCCAAATGTAAAAGAATGGTGCCACCTCGTACTCTAGATACAAAGATAACTCAAATGGTTCAATGGACTATGCATAGGAGCTAAAATGATAAAAATCAGCAGAAGAAAGGAGAAAGGTTAATATTCTTTACGTACATTTTAAACAGACAGATAATATTCTACCTTAGTTGAAACCAAGGCCCTTCTCCATCATGACTGCCCTGTGGATGTTGGAAGGTGTCTAAGTTAGCGTTCTATTGCTGTGAAAAGATACCATGACCATGGCAATTCTTATCAAGAAAGACATTGAACTGGGGCTGGCTTGCAGTTTCAGAGGTCTAGTCCATTGTTATGTCAGGAAGCATGGCAGCACGCAGGCAGACGTCATGTACTGAAGAGCCAAGCGTTCTATATCTTAATCTGCAGGAAACAGAAGAGGACTGTCTTCCACACTTGAGTTTGAATTTAGGAGACTTCAACCCCCACCCCCACAGTGTCACACTTCCTCCAAAAAGGCCACATTCACCCCAACAAGGCCATACTTCCTTATAGTCCCACTTTCCATGGGTCAAAGATTCAAGCACACGAGTCTATGGGGGGGCTATACCTACTCAAAGCAGCACAGGAGGGCTGCAATGCTGGCAGACTTGATAAACTCTTTTTTTTTTTAAACTTCCAGGGGACATACTTTCTAACTCCTTCATGGGCTTATTAATAGCAAAAAACAAATCTTTCTTTGAGTCCTCCTGTGTTTCCAGCTCATACAGAATAGGCAACTCAATATTTGGGAAATGTAATTGAAAAATCAGAGGGAATTCTATTCCAGTGAATTTAACTGTTTGCACTTACAGTTTCCTACAGGTCACACATCCATTTTACTGGACAGAGCACCAACGCACTGGAGTGAAAAATCCTATGTCTCAAAACACTTAGTGCAGAAGACAGCATGTAGCAATTCTATTTGAGTGTCTGCTGAAAATGCTTCATTAAATTTGGTTGATTCCTTGCTTCCCTGCCCCGGAAGAGTGATGATTTGAAATTCTTTTTTTTTTTTTTTGGGGGGGGGGGCGGGGTTCTTTTTATAAAAGCCCTTTTATAAAGCCATTTTTAAACAAAACAAACCAAAAGGTTTACAAAAGAAAAGAAAAAGATATAGAAAAAGAATAACTTGCTTCATATGACCCCAAGAGAAAAAAAAATAAAGAGGACAATACCAACATGCTCAACAATAAAGGGTTCTTTTCCTTATTTCTTAATACAAAATACAGGCAAAGGATACACACACTTAAAACAAAGTTCAGCAGCAGACAGCAGTCCTGGAAATCCTTCAGTTGGAGGAAGGCAGGAGTTTGTTGTTGCTGTTGTTTATGCAAATGCGTACAGACCAGTCTATGTAAATGTATGAAATGAAGTGTCACATCAGACCACCGCGTGAGCCTGCCAATGCATGTTGCATCTATAACCCATGAACATGGTCAACAAAATCATGTTTGCTTCAACTCGGTTTCATTTTAATTAAAGAAAAAAACCCTTTAACTAAAGTGGTTACATTCAAACTTTAGCTTCCTTAGTACCACGCTGCAGACTTCAGCACTGCTAAGGTATTGCAAGAATGCCCAACCCTCTGCTGTCTAGCCATGTATGCAGCCACACTGCAGTATGAAGAAAAGGCTGCCAGGCTCTGAGCCCGTGGCCTAAGACAGTTAGGCTAGCTTTCTGACCCTTTCTGCTCAGAACATGAAAGAGTCAAGACTAAAATAGAGGAAGACTAGGAGTTTTTGGAACTGGCAAATTAAGTCTAAAAGATGAATGAAGGCAAACGAAGGCATCTAAAAGATGATCGTGGCGGCTGAGCAGCCTGGCAAAGTCTTGTGCCTTGCAGGAATGAAGCATGTAAGGTTTGCTGCAATATGTTCATGGTACATGGACTATGTAGGGCTCTTATCTACAAATCTTGAAACAAATACTTCCAGAGGAAAAGGGAAAAAATTCACTAACTTCTAGAAGATAAAAGTTTAATTGCCAGACATTTACAAACGCTCACTCAGTTTTGGGTTTGTTTATGTATATGGGTGTGGTGTAGTGGACCAGGAAAAACAGTTGTAAAGAATGTTACCTCCAGGGCTGAGGAGATCCTTCAGTGGATAAAGTGCTTGTTTGCATTGAGACCTGAGTTAGGAATCCCATCACCCTAAAAGCTGGTTACAATAGCATGCTACTGGGATAGGTTGAAGGCCAGCAGGTCCCAGGAGTTCACTGTCAACCCTCTAGCAAATTGATGAGCTCCAGGTAAAAGACCTTGCCTCAAAAATATAAGACAGAGACAGACTGAGAAAGACAGCCAGTACTGATCTTTGGCCAGCACATGCAAGCTATGTGTACATGAATGTTCCAACATACACAATGCCTTTTATCAATTTCATTTTATGTATCAGTTACTTTTAGCCCATCCCTTACAATAGACTTAGCTTGGATCACATGCAGATTAAGTAATTTCCCCCCCAGGTCAGCCAAGTTCCTTGATCAGGTCCTGGAGAGGTTTCTAACAGGTATCCAGAAGATGTCAAACAAACAAACTCAATCTCTTCCCTTCAATTTCATCCCCCAAAAAGCTTTCTGTGTAATTTCTGTAACCAACCCACAATCCAGCCCACAGAAACTACACTATGGGATTGAAGACACAGCACCACTGTCTGCCAGGCTACAGCAGCAGTGCCAGCCAGCTTTGCATGAAGAAGCGCTGTAACTCTTTAACTTGGGTCTGGTTTCTGGTTGAGAATACAAAGCTCAAGTGGAAAGCGGAGAGAGGCTGAGGAAGGTGGAGGATCAGATAGCTCCTGCTGGGGTGCTTATTAATGATTCAGCAAGGGCGAGAACACGGGAGGTGCCACTCCTCCAGGGTGAGCACACGGGGCAGCCGCCAGTCCTTGCTGGCATTGCTCATGAACAAGATGGACGGGCTGGACACAGGGAAGGAGGAAGACAGCACGTTCACCAGCATTTCTCTCACGGATGACACAGGTAAGAACCATGTGGATGGATGCTCAGACAGAAAGTTCTGTGATTGCTAGGTGGTTAAAAAATATAACCTTTATTATAGCAGCAAGGTATACGAATTGGAAAAGACTTGAAAAATATAGCTACAAAAGTCAGTATTTAACTAAGAGCAGGTTTTCTTCTTTTTAAATGAACTGATAGCCACGGTTCCCACGATTACATTCATTAGATGAACTTTTCAAAGATAAATACAGAAACCCCCCAAATATAAAGTGTTCATTTCCTAGTTCAGGAAACACGGCCGCAACGTTGCTGTTAAGTCTATGGTATTCCTGTTCTGTTCATTTCTTCTCCACTTTTTCAAATAGTTTTTTTTTTATTATTTCTGAAAAATGCTCAAATATGTTCCAAGTAGCTTTACGACCTGTGTCAGATATGCTTAGTGTTAAGCAAGGACAAAGTTTGCCAAATTTAACATGGGAGAGGGAAACCCAGAACTGTTACTCACCTAACTTCTCAGAGAAAAAGAGACATTGCTGAACTGTGTGTTGTTGGAGCTATCCAGAAATACAACCCACTAAGTGTGTGTGTGTGTGTGTCTGTGTCTGTGACGTGATGGTTTTCTAAGTCTCTCTAGCACAATTATGGTAAGAAAGCCAGCAGGACTGCAGCTAAGCCTCGGGAGTTACTGTGTTTAGCTGGGAGGAAAAGCTTGAACACTTAACATCAATTGCTGTTTCATGCAGCTGAGCTTCTTCACTTTCTTCCTACATACTCAAATTCAGAAAGTGTCTTTCTGAAGTGCAGCCAGACAGTGAACACAAACCACCAGTCCGCTGCATGGGAAACCTGCTATAAACATACGGGGCTCTTGGGAATTCAGAGTACTTTGTACCTTCCTACAGCGAGAAGGGTACAAGGTACAGGCCTGGGGACGGTGTGGGGCACTGCTTGCTGCTTTCACAGAGGAAAGCAGCAAAGGAAGTGAAGGCAGAGAGAAAGCTCATTTCTTGGCTTCCAGAGGGCTGGATGCACAGATGGTGCACACCGAGTGCCTGAACTCTGAGCTGGGAGGCTCCTATGGAGAACCTGGACAAGGCCAGGCCACACTCTGTGTGTGTTGTGAAGTGAGCTGAGCCTGAGAGAAGGGAGACTTCCTGAAACATTCCCCCTCCTTGTTCACCCCATCCACTCTCACCATAGCTACTATATACAAATAAAATATTACATAAATATCTTACAAAATTCAGCCACTTAGCCTGCTCTTATGACGAGAACACTTCAAACCCACCCTCTTCGTAATTTGGAGTATAAACTATGCTGCTACTAACTACCGTCAGCGTAATCTATACCAGATTTCTTAAATTTGTTTATCCATTTCTTATATATTAGTTTTCATCTTTTACCCAGCGTCTTCCCTGACCTCCTTGGCTCCCGATCTCAGTTGGCCCACATTTCTATTCCTGTTCCTGTAAGCTTGACATTCTTAGATTCCCTCTATAAGTAAGAGAGAGCATTTGCCTCTCTGTGTCTGGCTTTTTCACTCCTCATGATAACCCCAAGCTCACCCATGGTAACGCAGCGGGAGGGACTTCCCTTTTAAGGCTGAGCACTACTTCACTGTTAGGGTGCACCACCTGAGGTGGTTTGAAGGTATTTGGAATAGCACTTTTAGGTGTGGCCTAGTTGGAGTAGGTGTGTCCTTGTTGGAGGAAGTGTGTCTCTGTGGGGGTGTGCTTTGAGACCCTTCTAGGCACCTGGAAGACAGTCTGCTCCTGGCTTCCTCTGGATGAAGATATAGAGCTCTCAGCTCCTCCAACATCATGACTGCCTGGACGCTGTCATGCTTCCTGCCCTGATAATAATAGACCGAATCTCAGAACCTGTAAGCTAGCCTCAATTAAATGTTGTTCTTATAAGAGTTGCCTTGGTTATGGTGTCTCTTTACAGCAACGGAAACCCTAAGTAAGACTTTTGTTAATTTGATTATCAATAGACCCAGGTGTTAACTTATCTTCCATCCCTCAAATCTCTTCCGACTTTTGTATACTAATTCTAGCAAAGGTCTCTGCTGCCCACCCTGTTACCTCTGCCACCCAACCCACTAGCTATACCTAGATATGACCTTCTCCAACCCTGCCCCGCTTCCTCTGCCAGCCACTTCCCGGTAGCCACAGTACCAACCCCTCAGCTGTCCAAGTCTTATGTCTTTGCTTACAGCGTCGGCCTCTCCATCCCTGCTGACTAATCTTAGTTACTATTCAGTTTTGATTTCCTGCATCTGCCTGTCTCTTCAGTGTCATTTCCTGCTACCTTATATGGGCTCTATGGAAACATTTAATATTCCCTGTACACGATGCCTATTTCATGTCTCTGGGCTTCAAGTGGTTCCTCCACTGCTTGAAATAATACCACCTACCTCTATTTACCTGGCCAACTCCAACTTTTCCATAAGATTGCACTCAGGCAGCATCTTCTCCAGAGAGCCCTCCACGATTGCCTCAGACTGGGCTACTTTCTTCTTTCTGCCTTAAGGACCGTGAGCACTCCTTATCAGTATTGCTGGGTAGCACTGTGATAGCCCTGTCAACCGGCCAGGATCTAGACCAACCTGTGAGGTAAGCCTTTGGGTGTGCCTGTGAGGGAGTCTGTACAGTGCGTTAACTGACGTGGAGAAATGTTGTGGTTAATACTTAAAAAATGCGGCTGCGTGAGCTGAGCGACTATCTAAGAGGCAGTAGCTCTCCTTAGCTCAGGCCTCCATGTTCCGCTGCCAGAAGCCATACACACCACAGCTGGAAGCGGCCAGAGGCCACATGTGCCACAACTAGACCCACAAGACTGCGTTTCTGGTCAGCCAGAAACACCGGCCCTGGCACCCACCAGATGCCATCATGGTAATTGGCTCTGCCAATCCTCCACGCTGTCTCCACAAAGCTTGACTGAGCCCCTGATAATAAGCTCCATCCACACAGTACCGGGTAGAAGTGAGACTCTAATGCTTAATTATTATCCAAAGGCTTTATATATTTGATAATGCTCAATTAACAAAATGCCCATGCAATTAGAATTGTTAACCTAATTAACTAACCTAGAAATGAGACCTGAGACTGCTAAAGACACGCGGACGTCTCCAGCCATCTTCTCTCCTGCCTCCTCTCTTAGTCTCCTCCCCTTCCTCCCTTCTCTCTCTTCGCTCCTCCCACATTAGCTCCTCCCCCATCAGCTCCACTGTAAACAATGCAGCAGCAGGAGGAAACCATTTTGCTACGGAGAAACCCACCCTAAATATGGGCGTCATCCTTCCACAGTCTGGAGTCCCAGACTGAATAAAAAGGAGAAAGCGAGCTGAGCACGACGCTCTGCTTTCTGACTGCAGATGCCATATGACCACCAGCCTCATGTTCCTGCTGCTACGACTTTCTCTGCCGTGATGGACTGACTGTACCTCACACTATGAACCCAAACAAACATCCTCCCTTTACTTCTTCTCAGGGATTTGCTCATAACAAGGAAAGTAAGCAATGTCAGGATATTGTACATACATACGATGTAAGCAATACAAGCACGTTGTACATGCATGCGATGTGCATGTGTAGCTCCCTCAACAAACTGTGAGCATCTATCTAGGAGACACAACACAGGCTTTACATGTCTGTGCCTCAGGCATGAAGCTCAGAGTCTGACCCATAATGGGCACTCAATACATTTTTTTTTTTTTGCTGCAAAATTCTGACTGGATTTGTTTGCTCAACTGAGAACAAATTAGATAGACAGCCATTCCTAAATTATTTCTGCAATTTTATTTGAGCTCCTTTTCCTATACTTACTTTTAGATCAGTTTGCTTCTTCTTTCAGAAAATAATGATCAAATATCTACTCTCATCTGCTTAGCTAAAGAACTGGCAGGGGGTGGGGTGGCAGGAAGGGCCTGAGCTCTGGAGTAGGAGATTCCAGGATGTGACTCTGGGAGGCTCTGAGTAGCTAGTGGACTGAACTCATCGGATGCAAAGTGACCCTAAGAAAACGCCCCAGAATCCCTCTGATGATTGAGCTAACAAAGGAGGTGTCTTGATCCAGCTGCCACCCAGCAAGCACACTGCAGACCCTCTGCTCGCTCTTCAAGAAGCTTCACCAAAGTTTCCTTCTAGGTTGGAAGAGGACACATCAGTTTTCGTGGTAACCATAGTATGGCGTCACGTTGTGCTGTAAGTCTGAACTGGATGTTGATGTAGTCCTGCTAAAGATGGACGTGCATACGCTCTTCACACAGGAGCACAGGTCGATTCTCACAATGAAGCTCCTCTCCTCATGCTCAGCTCTTCTCCTCAGTGTCCTTCCCTTCCGTTGTGCCCCAGCCTCCTTCCCGACTCTTTAATCGTATTCAAAGTTTCTGTTGGCATCAGCCAATTAGTCCCCACTGTCAGGTTGCAATGTGCTTCTCAGACAAGTGGCATAGTTGCTCTGTGCTTTTTACTTAGTACTGCTTTCTCCCACCATTTAGAAGGAGTAACTATAGCCCCCATGATGGCTCAAACAAGCCTGGTTTGACATTCAGAAAGCCATCTGCAGTTTCCACTGCCAAGTAGGTCACACACATCAGTTAGCAATCCAAGGAAAAGGTAGAAAGGGCCTGGGTTCCTTTTTATCTCATCTGCCACTATAACATGAGCTAAAAAGGGAAATAGATTTGTGGCTGTCCGGCCTAAAGAGACTCTGACCCGTAACAGGAGTCTGGCTCATGAAAAGCCCTTGGTGCTAAAGGGAGCCAGCATCTGCAGCCAACATCTCGCTCCCATGTCTACTGCATGACTGTAAATGGCTTCTCTGGGCTACCATGGATACCCTGGGAGTCAGTTATGCTAAGGAGCATTCTGGAGTGGATATATGATTGAACAAGATTGACCCAGAGAATGTCATCCATATGTATACACATGCACACAGGTGTGGCAGGTGGGATGCCAGCCAGAATTAGTGGAATTCCCTTGTGTTGTGTCTGTTTACACCTCCTATAGAATTTTTCC